ATCCACGTGGTCGCCTGGGAGCGTGTCAGAGACTCGGGTCTCTCCGGCCCCAGCCCTGCTGAGCCCGAGCCTGCCTCGATCGCACCGGGACGCCCGGGGGTCCCTGTGCGTGTGAATGTTGGAGAGCTGCTGGCCTCTTAATTGCTGAATGTTCCGGAGTGCCCCGGGTTGTCCAGATGCACCAGGCGGTTCTCCCATCCCCAGGTCTTTGTACAAGAGACTCTGGCGAGAAAGCCCAGGTCCCTCAGCCCCTGGCAGGTGCCACTTCTTCGGAAGCCGGGGCAGTGTCACCGAGACCATTCCTCCTGGGCAAGCGCCTTCTCGCCCCTGTCCCTGCCCCTCGCCGGGCCCCTGCTTCTCCCTGGCACTTGGCGTTTGCTTATTGCGGTGGAGTGACTCGGACACAAGCGTTCGGGCACCTTCCGTGTGCCAGGCGCCGTTGTAGGTGCCACAGAGGTGGACGAGACAGGTACGACCCCCCCGGGGCCTTGGTCGGGAGCCGGAAGCGGCAGTGCTGGGTGCGTCGCAGAGAACGGGGGATGGGGCGGTGGGAGTGTGAATGGGGTGTCAGGAAAGGCCACGTGGGAAAAGCGACGTTTGAGCAGGGACCTGAAGGAGGGAGGTTCTCCAGCCCGTGGGACATTTGACGCTGTCTGGAGACGTGTTGGTTGTCACAGCGGGGGTGGGGGAGCCACCGGCGCCCAGTGGGCAGAGGCCCCAAGACAGCCGTCCAGCCCGAGCGCCCCCAGAGCCGAGGCTGAGACATGCTGCGTTAGGGAAGGAGCGTTCTAGAAAGGAGGAACAGCATGTGCGAGAGCCCTGAGGCAGGGAACGGCAAGAATGTCCACGTGACCTGGGCAGAAGGAACAGGGGAGACTGAGGCAGCAGGGGCCCGGCCGTGCAGGGCCTGCAGGACACAGAGCGGCCTCGGAGACTCTGACTCCCGCTGGTGGGGCTGGGACGTGTCGAGCAGAGAAGTGACAGACACTTGCATGGCATCTTCCTGTCGGCGCCATGAGCCTGGGTCCGGGACAGCCGGGGAGGAGGCCGTTGGGGCGCCCAGGGGAGAGTCGATGGCGGGCTGGGGATTTGGGAGGCATGGAGGGAGGAGGGGAGGGAAGTGGCGAGTCCCGGGCTGGTTCTGGGTGGGCGGCGGCCACGCGAGTCGGGGGTTCAGGGGACAGGGATGGGTGTGGGGTCACAGCGCAGGTCTGTGTTTCATTTCAAGGACAACAGGATGCCCTTGCCGTGGCCTGCTCGCTCCTGGTGGGGAAGGGAGGGTGGCAGGTGCAGGGACCGTCCCTGAGAACACACAGCCAGACCTCGCATTCACCGGCTGCCGCTCCCAGGCCTGGCGCGTCACCTCTCTGCCTCAGTTTCCTCATCTTTAAAATGGGGATAAGTACCTACCTATGGAGTTGTCGTGAGCCCTTACCAGCGATGAAAAGCTCTTGGACACCTTGCACGCCTGTGTTAGTAGGTTAGCTGCTGTTACTACGACTGTTGCTGCTGCCATCGTTGACGTTATTTTGAAATTCGGGCTCACTGTGCGTCTGGTCGTTTGCTAATAAGTACCTTACGTGGACTCGTTTCTCTCTCTCACCCCGAGATGCCACCTGGATATTCCCACGTTCCCCACTTGCATGCTGGGCCCGCAGCCCCTACCCCCGTGAGACCCTGCGCCGTGCTCTTTGACACGGGAAGCTCAGGTCTGCGCCCATCTCACAGATGGAGACTGAGGCTCTGGGAGTCGGTGCCCGTGGTGGGGGGGAGGGGAGGTCCCCGTGGGGACGGAGCCCGGGCAGCTGGGCTTCCAGGGCACCTGCTGGGAGTCGGGGCCAGTACCCGGGGGACCGACCCGGTCCCCACCGTCCAGTCCCGCAGGTCGGTGGGAAAAGATGTCTCTTGCGTGGGATTAATTTGTCCTCTGGACACCCGGGGCAGGCTCTCGAGGCGGTTTCTTCCTCCCTCACTCCCTCGAGGGACGTTGGCCTCTGCTCTTCCCTGTCGGCCCCCGGCTGCAGGGTCTGGACGCCTGGCACAGGCTCCGGATGGGCCAGAGGGGCAGCGAAGCCCATGGCCCGTGGCCACCTTCCCTTTGTCTCTAAACTGTTCGACAGCCCCGTGGGGCTCCTGTTTCCAGGGGCAGACCGAGGCCAGAGGGGCAGAGTCACTTGTCTCGGGTGGCAGGACAGGGGGGAAGCCAAGTCTGAGTCCAGAGGCTGTGCCCACCCCACAGATGAGAACACCGAGGCCCAGGAGGGGTTAGCAGGCGCCAAGTCCCCTCCAGCCAGTGCAGGCCAGATCTCCGCCTGGCTCTGGGCTTTGCAAGCAGACCCCGGGCAGCCGAGGAGCCGGGGCAGCAGGGCGTCGGGGCTGCGCTCTGCCCACTTCCAGGCCGACTCCCACACCCGGCTGGGTGAGCCTGGGCGGGTCACCGAACCTCTCTGGGCTGACCCTTCCGTGTCAGGGACGGCAGGGGCCCTGGTAGGGTGTTACCCGGGGAAACAAGATTGCACGGGCCTCGTCATTTGCACGGCTATTATGAGCTGTTACCGTCATCTGAGAGTGGTTTGTAGAGTCGGGTCGTCTCCCCTGGTAACCTCGGCTCACCTGGGGCTCCGGTCTCTGTTCTGTCTCCTCCTGTAGCCGCTAATGAGAAGTGGGGGGGGGGGGACAGTGGCTGTGACGTGTAGAAAAGCATGCATGTCACATGGGGAGGGACTTTCTTCCTGGCCGTCCCCCTCCCCAAGTGTGCTTAACCATCATCCTTACTTCCAGCTGCATCTCTTTGTCTTGGTACCGTTTTTTTCTTTTCTTTTCTTTCCTTTCTTTTTTTTTTTTTTTTTTTTTGAGACAGAGTCTCACTCTGTCACCCCATCTAGACTGCAGTGGCGTTATCACAGCTCACTGCAACTTCCACCTCCTGGGCTCAGCGATCCTCCTGCCTCAGCCTCCCCAGTACCTGGGACTACAGGCATGCGCCACCATACCCGGCTGATGTGTCTATTTTCAGTAGAGACGGGGTCTCACTCTTGCTCAAGCTGGTCTCGAACTCATGACCTCAAGTGATCCTCCTGCCTCAGCCTCCCAGAGTGCTAGGGTTACAGGTGTGAGTCACCACACCTGACCTGTGTCGGCAATTTTTGTTCTTTATATAAACGGAGTCACAGTGCGGTGGTCCTTTTCCGTTTTGTTTAACAGACTAATTAGAAAATTTTAACAGCTCTTTGGGGATGTAATTCACATATTATCCAGTTCGCTCACTTAAAGCGTGTGGTCCATTTTGGGACCCCACAGCAGGACACCCCACACCAGAGCCGTCACCTGTGTCCCCAGCCCCTGGAAACCACAGCTCTGGGTCTCTGTCTCCAGGTGGCCTGCGCGTCTGGCTTCTGTCACTCAGCTTTATGTGTTCCAGGTTGGTCCGTGCCGTGGCACGGACCGGAGCCTCATTCCTTTTTATGGCCAAAAACATACTGCATTATTTTTTATGGCCAAGAAACGCCCCATCGCTCTGGGCCGGCCGTCCCGAGGGTCCTTTCTTCGGGACTGGGTGCCTGTGAATCCGGAACGGCGGCGTGCCCAGAGTGTGGCCGGACTCGGGGCAGGAGGCCGCCGACGGGGGCGGGAGAACACACAGGTACCCGGGGACAGGGCCACGTCCTGCTTATGCCTGTCGGGGCCTCAGCCTGCCCATCTGTAGGGTGGGGGCAGGACGGGCCGGCCAGGTGTCTATGGAACCTTCCAGCCGGAACCTGTTGAGTCCTCCGTGCACGTGGCTCCTGCCCCTCCCGGCACGCGCCTGCCGTGGTTCTGACTGTCCCACCCGGGACAGTCTCATTCCTGGTGGCTGACGTCCTTGCACCCCTGGACGTGCCTCCTTGGTTCCCGGCATCGCCAGCCTGTGCCCTGGTGGGTCCCTTCCAAGGCCACCGGCCACGGCGGTCCGTGGAGCAGAGCAAAACGTGAGCAGGGAACAGAGCGCGTGGTGTGGCCACCTGCGGCAGGTGGGGGAGCAGGGCGGGGGCCGGGCCCAGGACCCAGCAGCACCTGTGCCAGCTGCAGGGCGTCCCTGTCCCAACGTCCCCTGCTCCAAGCCGGGAGCTGTTTTTAATCTAACAGCTTTACTGAAATTCACATACCACACAACCGACCCACCAAAACGTACAATTTAGTGTGTTTTGCAGAGTTCTGCATCCAGCACCACAGACAACTTTAGGACATTTTCATCACCCCAGAAAGAAACTGGCACCCTCAGCCAGCACCCCCGGTCCCCCCCACCCCCAGCCCCTGACAGCCACGGCCTGCCTCCGTGCCAGGCTTTACCTAGTTCCCAGAAACCGAATCGTGTGCTATGGGACCGTCTGCAGCTGGTGGCTTCATTCAGCGCAGTGTGTTCAGGGGTCACTTGTGCTGTGGCAGGTGGCAGTACCGCGGTCCTTCTCACAGCCAGAGAATGTTCCACTGGCCGTACCACGTTGTATCTGTCCCGTTACCGGTTGACGTTTGAGCGTTCCTGCCTTACGGCCGTCGTGAGAACATGCTGCTACATAGGGAACGTGTGTGCGGGTTTTCACACGCCTGGGAGCGGACTTGCTGGGTGATAGACGCACGCTTGGCCTTTGAGGACCTGCCAGACCGTGTCCCCGCGCTCTAGGCCAGCACCAGGGCGGCCCATGCGGAGCTTCCCCGCTGGGATCGAGCCCCCAGGCCGGGGCGCGGGTCCCGCATGTGGGCGTTTTCCTGCACGTGGACGTCTGCCACGTGTCCTGGATTCTCCAAAGTGCCTTGACCCTCCAAGTCCTCCCCGCTGTCGCCTGGGCTCAAGGTCAGAGGAGGGGACGGCTGACTAGGGCGCGTCCCAGCCCTGTCTGACGCCCCACCGGGTCCTGTGAGGCCGGTGGAGGCTCAAAAGTGCAGCTCGATACCTGGTGAAAACGCCGGCTGACGTCTCTCTGTTCTTTCTTTTCTCGGTGTTTCTCCTCCTCGGAAACCAGCAAGGAGAACTTCAACAACGTCCCCGACCTGGAGCTCAACCCGATCCGATCCAAAATCGTTCGTGCCTTCTTTGACAACAGGTGGGCTCTTCTCCCTGACCGGGGGCGGCAGGCACCTTGTCCTGCGTGACTTCGCACAGTACTGACGTGCGCAGGACAGTCCTTACGCTGATGCAGATAAGAGGGGCCGGGCCGGGCGGGCGCATGGGGCTGGGGCCAGGCAGTCGTGGATGCCTAGCGGGGTGACTTTGGGCGACTCCCTCGAGCGCTCTGGGCCGCTGTGTTAGTCATCTGGGGCTGCGTGGCAAGTGGCCCCCAGTATTAGTTTAAAACAGCAAACATTTATTATCCCACCCCTTTGCGTCCAGGGGTCCAGCTGCAGCGGAGCTGGGTGGGAGGTTCTCGGGCTCAGCTCTGGCGGGCTGCAGCCGGGGTGACAGCTGGGGCTGAGGTGGCCCCTCAAGGCTCATGCTTCCAGGCTCGCTCCTGTGGCTGGTGGCATCTTCTGGGCCTCTCCACAGAGCTGTTCGAGGCACGGCAGCTGCGTCCTCCAGACCGAGGTGTCCAAACAGAACCGGGGGTGGGAGGGACCCAAGGTGGAAGCCACCATCTTTCTGTAACCAAACCTTGGAGGTGCTGCCTCGTCCCTTTTGCTGTGTCTCCTCATTAGGAGTGAGTCATTCAGGCCGGGCGCGGTGGCTCACGCCTGTAGTCCCAGCACTTTAGGAGGCTGAGGATGGGGGATCACTTGAGGCCAGGAGTTCGAGACCAGCCTGAGCAAGAGCGAGACCCCGTCTCTACTAAAAATAGAAAACTTAGCCGGGCGTGGTGGAGCGTGCCTGTAGTCCCAGCTACTCGGGAGGCTGAGGCAGGAGGATCGCTTGAGCCCAGGAGTTTGAGGTTGCTGTGAGCTAGGCAGACGACACTGCACTCTAGTCTGGACAACAGAGTGAGACCCTGTCGTCAAAACAAAGAAGTGAGTCACTAGGTCACCCCACTGTTGACAAGGAGGCAGCGCAGGAGTGTGACCAGGGCTGGTGCGTCCCAGCAGTCCTGGGGAAACTGAGGTGGGGGATGAAATGGCCGTGGTGACAGTACCAGCCACCCTGCCTCCCTGGGCGGGATGGAGCGTGGTCGAGTTGAGCAGGGACGGAAGGGGCTCCCGGGGTGGCGGAGGGGGTCCACAGGGACAGGTGCTTGTCCAGACACAGGATCGGTGCGTTTCGTGGGGTTTGACTTTAACAAAACCTGACCCGGGTCTCTTGGCTGTCTCCTGTGGGACCTGGGACTCTGACTCGGGCCATCCGCCCTGGGCGGACCCGGGACTTCGGGTTCAGCTCTCGGGGGGATCCGGGCGTCTGCTGTGCTGGCCTCCACGAGTGGCCGCTCTCGAGGGGACAGGGTGTGGGAAAAGGGGCCCGAGGCTCTTTGGGAACAGGTCTGGGGGTATCTTGAGCGGGGTCCGTGCCTGCCCCCGGGGCCCTCCCTTACAGGGTAACTGGCAGGTTAAGGGAGCAGAAGGTTTACTGTGAACCAGGCGTTGCAAAAAGAACAAAAGCTGCCTGTCGTCCGCTGGGTCGCAGCTTGGGGTGCGGCACCCGACTCCCAGCCTCCCATCCCGGCCTGGGGGCCTGTTTGAGACCTGGGAGTGGACAGCAGGTGCGCCTGGCTCCAGGCGCTTTGTCCGGGCGTCCCAGGGACCCGCGGAGGGGGAGAGACCCTCCTCCCTGCATCGGGTCCTGCTGCTGAAGCTGCCCAGGTGTCGACCTTCCTTGACAAGGACACGTGTGTGCCCTGCCTTCCCTGGGGGCTATCACGTCCCCCCCTGCTAATCTCAGTCCCCCTGCTGCAGCCTCAGCCACTCGGGAAGGACACGTGAACTGACCGCAGTGACAAGTGCCTCCGGAGGAGCCTGATAAGCCCGGGGCTATTTTTATGCTCTGCAAACTTGGGCCGTGCCACTGAGGCAGGAAGTGTGACTCGGGTCTGTCGGGAGGGACGGCGGGAGCTTCGCAGGACAGAAGGGCAAAGGGGCCGCCAGGACTGGGCTTCCCGGGTCTGGGGAGGGATCTGTGTCGCCCCGAGGATTGGGAGGCTCCCGATCCACCTTCCCTAATCCACATTCGGGCTCCACCTCTTCCTGGAAAATCTCCCGGAAAGGGGCAATCTACAAACTGTGAAGTGCGGTGGACACCGCCGACGGTGTTTCTCGAAAGGGCGTGGACGGACCGCCAAAGAGAGAATTGCAAACAGTCCTTCATGCCGGGACCCAAGTAAAATGTCCAGGCACCGGCGGTTGACTCAGATCGTCCCGGGAGCCCCACAGTTTGGGGCCTCGGCACCCGCAGCCACCAGACCGTCACGGTCAAAGTCGGTCAGTGGTGAGGGTGTGGTGACGGTGAGTCGGGAGCTGGTACTTGGAGCGACCTGCAAGGTGTCTTCTCAACAGCTGCGTGTCCCTGCGGGGACCGAGCCGATGGCGTGTCGGCCCACTGGGCCCCCGCTCTGCGTGGGACCGAGCCGGGCGTGGGGCTCGCCGTCGTGGCCCACGCTCCCTGCGCCCGCCTGGAACACGAGCCCTTTCTTGCCCCCCACCCCCGCCCCCAAAAAGCACATTGAGAGGGACAACCTCAAATCTGCCCCGATTTATTACAAAACTTTCAGTTATCAACAGACTTTGCACTTGGGCGGTCAGCAAAGCACTCGGAGCTGCTTGCAGACGATCGCTGGACTGAAATTTGGAAGCGCTGATGGAGCAGGGCTTGACTGATGTTTTCTGTAGAAAAGCAAGAGAGTAGATGTCTTGGGCTTCTTCTCGGGCCACGTGGTCTCCGCTGCAGCTTCAGTACTCGCCGCCGTAGCACGAAAGCAGACAGTGTCTGCTTCTAGTGTGCCAATAAAACTTTATGAACACTGAAATTCCAATTTCATGTAATTTTCACTTGTGAAATACTATTGGGGGTGCTAACAGTTTTCAATCATTTAAAAATGTGAACTCTTAGCTGGGCGCGGTGGCTCACGCCTGTAATCCTAGCACTCTGGGAGGCTGAGGCGGGAGGATTGCTCGAAGTCAGGAGTTCAAGACCAGCCTGAGCAAGAGTGAGACCCCCGTCTCTACTAAAAAATATAAATTATCTGGCCAACTAAAAATATATAAAAAAAAATTAGCCGGGCATGGTGGCGCATGCCTGTAGTCCCAGCTACTCGGGAGGCTGAGGCAGGAGGATTGCTTGAGCCCAGGAGTTGGAGGCTGCTGTGAGCTAGGTTAACGCCACGGCACTCTGGCCCAGGCAACAGAGTGAGACTCTTTCTCAAAAAACAAAACAAAACAAAAATTAAAACAAAGATGTGAGCTCTTAGAGTTCATGGGTTGTGCAGAAATAGGTGACAGGCCGTACTGGCCCATGGGCCGCAGGTGCCAGCCCCTGAGCTAAAGGAAGGATCGAGTTTGGGTGCTTTGGGTGAGTTATTGGGTTGCTTAGTACCTCAGTTTCCCCATATGTGAGTGCTCACCTGTGTGCACGACACACCCTCCGTCCCCGTCCGAACCCGCCGTTATGCAATGTCTGTCTCCTCCCAACCCCCCGTCCCCTGCAGTGAGCTCGCGAGGGCAGGGCTGGGTGGGCTTAAAGCCCGTGGGACCCCAGAGTCCCGCAGAGCGGGTTCTTGGGGAACCGGACTTGGGGGGGCGGCCGTCGTGGCGAAGCCTGTGCCCCGCAGGGCCGAGTGCTTGGGAGCTGCTGGCGGGGGGCGGGCCGGTTCCCGATCCGCCTCCGACACGCTCCTCCTCGCTCCCCTAGGAACCTGCGCAAGGGTCCCAGCGGCCTGGCGGACGAGATCAACTTCGAGGACTTCCTGACCATCATGTCCTACTTCCGGCCCATCGACCCCACCTTGGGGGAGGAGCAGGTGGAGCTGTACCGGAAGGAGAAGCTGAGATGTGCGTGTCCCGGGTCCCCTGGGGGCAGGAGGCTGGCCGTGCATTGGGGGGGGGTTGGCAGGGGGTGGCAGGTGCCAGCCCGCACCCCACTCGAGGCTTCCGTCCCCCTCGGACGTGCCGCAGCAGCGTGCGGCTTCCTGAGACTGGGAGGGGCCCGAGGGTGGATGTGGGGGGACGAGGTCCTTGGTCCCATCGGACCCGGGTTCCAGCCCAGCCCTCCCGCCTGGCTGCGACACCAGGAACATGGAAGTGTCGGTTACGGCTCGAGAGGTCGCACGGACCCTGGGCGCACAGGGGCGCGTGCAGGGCTGGGGGGCAGCCGGGCAGCCGGTCCGAGGCCCTGGTTTCCCGCCCTGCTCCTGCGAGCCCCGACAGCCGTCTGGGAAGGGGCTTGGTCTCCCGGGGCGGCGTGAGGATGAGAGGGAAAGCGGGCTGGTCGGCACTCGACACATGCCACGGCAGAGTGTTGGGACGGCTCCGGCCCCCGGGGTCACGTCCCCTCTGGCTCCCGGCCACCGCATGCCGGCAGGACGTCAGTAGGTGTGAAGGAGCCCGAGGAGACGCTAACGCCAGGCCGGGCCGTGGGCGTTCAGTCCGTGAGCTGTACCTGCCGAGGTGGTGGCCCCCACCGGGGCTGTCGGGAGTGACACGGTGGAGTAGCGCCCACCTGGCTGGCTGTTACCGAAGCTCGCAGGCCACATCCGCGCTTGCGGGGCGCCAGGCCCTTGCCGCGCCCTCGCTCCACCCGCTCTAGCTCCCAGCCCCTGCAAGACCGTGGGGTGAACAGGGCTGTGACTCCCATTTCAGAGGTGGGGAAACTGAGGCTCAGAAGTCGGGTCACTCGTGTAAGGTCAGGCCCCGAGGCCGTGGCCTGGAGGTTTCGCTGTGGGTGTCTCTCGCTCGGTTCGGCGTAGGTTTCGGGGTGGAGGAGCAGGGCCTGGCCCCGCCTGACCGGCCCTGTCCCCGCGCCCAGTCCTGTTCCACATGTACGACTCGGACAGCGACGGCCGCATCACGCTGGAGGAGTATCGAAATGTAAAGTATGCTCCTCCGCCCCGCCCTGGGCTGCTGGCGCCTCCCGCCCGCGACCTTGACGGCCCGAGGTCACCCTTTGTCTCTGCCCGCGCCAGGTGGTGGAGGAGCTGCTCTCGGGGAACCCCCACATCGAGAAGGACTCCGCGCGCTCCATCGCCGACGGGGCCATGATGGAGGCGGCCAGCGTGTGCGTGGGGCAGATGGTGAGTCCCCACGCGGGCGGGGCCGGGGGTCCTGCCCACCGTCCTCACGGCGGCCTGCGAGCTCAGAAGCCTCCCCGGCTCCTCCTGTCCCCCGAGACCCTGGGCCCCGGCCCCGAGAGCCGGGTGACGCCGGAAGCGGGGTTCGAGGCCGCTGGGCTTTGGGGTCCAGGAGCCCCACTGAGCAGCCCCGGCCCCATCGTCTCTCACGGGCAGCAGCTGGCACCCGGCCGGGCCTGCTCGGAGGACAGCGCAGGCGCCGCATAATTAGCCCGCCTCCTACCCAGGGACTCGAGTCCGCGTGTGGCCCTGGGGCCAGGATCAGCAGGGAGTTCTGGGCTGGGGGAAGCCCCTGTCTGAGGTCTGGCCGAGGGACCGAGGTGGGGGCGGCATGTAAATGAGGCAGGAAGAGAGAAGCTTGGTCCCTTCTTGTACATCGTTTCGTAAATTTTTAGCTTCAATTTTATAGGTGGGGAAACCGAGGCACAGAGAATATATAAAGAATTTTCTGGACCTCGTGATCTTTCCTGTGCTGGCTGGTCTCCCTCTTGTACGGATGGGTGCAGCCCTGCCAGGCCCCCACCCAGCGACTCTAAGCCCTGGGGACCACTCAGGTGGGCAGGTGACCATCTGGGTGTCAGCTTTGTTCCCAGAGAGGTTGGCCCTCTGCCGCGCTCACCTCTCCGCGCCTGTGCGTTTAAAGTGGCAGCGCCTCTGGACACCTGCGTGGCTTGGTGTTCACCGCAGCCGGGTGGAGGGGGGTTTTCGTGCCGGATCCCGCTGTCTGTGCCCCAAGCCTGTGATTGGGGGACTTGAGGCCACCGGCCCAGGCCTGCGCCCCGGGTGGGGTCTGCGGTCGTGCCCTGGGCCTGTATTTTATCTGTCTGCTCTTCAGGCCTGGGGGAGGCCTCTGGCTTTGGTGAAACCAACCACTCAGCAAAGTAACCGCCGAGGGAGGGCTAGAGACCTGGGAGGGGGAGAGCAGGGATCTCCCGCGGGGTTGCGGGGCCCCGTTCCCGTTCGATTTAATTACACTCCCCTCCTTCAGATTGCTCCCTGTCCTGCTCCGGTTTCAACCGGCGATGGTTTTCTTAATTTGCTGTAGTGCAATCGTTGGCAGCTGGCAGCTGCTGATCTGCATAAAGCGACTCGGGTGAGCCCGGCCCCCCAAACCCCCGGGCGTGCATCCCCCCGCCTGGAGCCGGGAGGGAAGGCAGCGCCACGCGGGTGCTCACCTGCCCGCCTGCCTTTGGTGCGTGTTTTCTGGTGCAAACAACGCCGAGGTCAGTGCAGTCCCCGCCCTGTGCACACAGCAGTGTCGCTCTGATGCCGTCTGGCCTCCGAGGACACCAGCCTCTCTGACCGCACTGCCAGAGACAGACGACCCGCCGTGCCCGCCGCTATGGACTTGGACTTCGAAAGGCGGCCATCGACTGGGCTGTGGCTCCCTTTGCAGTGCTGTCACTGGGGGCAGGATTGGGGGTCTCGAGGATGGGGCCGCCTTGCTGGGGTTCCAGCCCCAGAGGCTTCCCCAGCCCCCTACCCTCCATCCTCCAGCCCCCCCCTGGCCGGGGATTGGGGGGCTTGTCTGTAATTAGCTTCCCCAGCCCGGGGGCCTGGGCTGGCCCGGCCCGGCAGCGGGAGGACAGCCACTTTGCTCTGTGCCGGCCAGTGGGAACAGAGGAGGAAAGAGCCCTTGGGGACAGAGCTAGCCTGGGCCAGCTGAGAGCTGGCGGTTTTTATAGAATTCTCTTAAAAAGTACAAAAAAATGGTGCACAGTCCTGCCACCAGAAACAGCCCTCACGGACGTGGAGCCAGCTCTGTGGTCCCCGCTGGACCGGCAGGCTCCCTCCGGGGCCCCAGTGGCCTCAGCTGTAAAATGGGCATGAGGAGAGGGCCCGCCTCGTGGCCGGTCTTGAGGTTGGCATCAGTCAATATTAAACGTCAACAGTGACCGGCCTGAGCAAGAGCGAGACCCCATCTCTAAAACAATAAGGAAAATTAGCCAGGCGTGGTGGCGCATGGCTGTAGTCCCAGCTACACGGGAGGCTGAGGCAGGAGGATTGCTTGGGCCCAGGAGTTTGAGGTTGCTGTGAGCTAGGCTGACGCCACGGCACTGTAGCTCAGGCGACACAGTAGGATCCTGTCTGCAAAGTGGAATCAAACTGAGGTGGCTCTTCATCTCTGTGCGACCCCCGCGTGTCCGCAGGCAGATGGCAGGGGGGCCGGTCATCGGTCTGGGAAAACATTTGCGCACACGGGATCTGCAGACGTCTGTCTGCTCCCATCGATGTTTTGTTTGTTTGTTTTTCCACCGTGTGCTCATCACGGAGCCTTTTCCATAGCGGCGTGTATAGACCGGCCCTTCTCCATGGCTGTGCGTAGTCCGCGGTGTGGACGGCCACGCCTGTGCGGCTGGCTGGACACCTGGGATGTCCCAGGCGGTGCTGCGGGGTGAGGTGTTCAATGGCTTGGTCGTAGGGTCCTGAGAGTCGGTGAAAGGGGCAGGGGCCCCTCAAATGGTCCCCCATGTCCCCAGAGCAGGAAGGACACAGGTGGAGACTGTCACCGCTAAATGCACTCAATGGGGGGAGGCTCCTGGCAGGCGGAAGTGGCCTCGTGGTGGCCAAGCTCCAGCCCCACCTCCCTGGCAGCCAGGCGCTGTCACGGTGACTCAGGGGCCCGAGGGGCGGGCCACACAGGCCCTTTGTCCACTTACCCCTTGCCCCAGTGGCCTGGAACAGTTCTTATCGGTTCCGGGCCCCAGGGTGACAGGGGGTGTCTTTGGTGGCCGAGCCCTGCGCCTCTGTCCCCGACCTCAGAGTCTCCCTGGGGGGTCCGGGGAGGGGGTACTGGTCTCCCTCCCATCCTCGGGCTGGTACTAGCCTGGTGCTGGAGGCAAACGATCTGGAATGTTCCCCCTTTTTGTCACGATTCCACCTGAGCAGCCCGGGCCATCTGCGTCCTGGGTGTGCGTTGGGGGCTGTGGGCAACCCTGGCGGCAGCCGGGCGGGACCGGCCGCTCACTCTCTGCCGTGTGCTCTTGCCCGCAGGAGCCCGATCAGGTGTACGAGGGGATCACCTTCGAAGACTTCCTGAAGGTGGGTGTGGGGCCCGAGTGGGGGGCTGGGGGAGCCTCGGCACCCCAGGGAGCCTGCCATTGGAGGAGGCGTGGGAGGGGGTCAGCCCGGGCGTGGCCTTTGGGAACCGTTTGAACTGGTTTTGCTCATCCGTATGGGAAGGGTTATACTCACAGGGGGTCAAAACAATTGCAGCAGCACCAAAGGGAATGCACGGGAAAATCGATTCCTCTCCCACCCGGGATCCGGTGCCCCCATCTTAGAGGACATAGGTAATCCCTGAGGGACATTTGGAACAGAGATTCCAGAAACTTTTTACATCTGTGCACCCGGCAGCGTTTGCCAGGGGCAGCAAGGCGGCCGAGTGAGCCTGTGCCCCAAGCTGGGGCGAGACCTTGGGGGTCGAGGTCTGTCCCGCTGAGCTCGCTCCTCTGAGTCACCTGCCGGCAGTTGGACGTGGCAGGGGAGAGGACAGGCAGGCTGCAGCGTCCCCACCATGACGGAACGGCTGGGCGGGGGCGGCTGGGGTCGTGTCGGCAGCCGCCTTTGCCCACTCAGATGCCCCAGCCCAGGCGGGGCCAAACGGTGGGGAGAGGCCAGAGTTTGCACGTGCCCCCAGGGTCACCCCAGCAGGTGCTGGGCCTGCTTGGCCCAGAGAGCGAGGCTTGACCAGGGCGACAGAGTGAGGAGCTGGAAGACTGGAGGCAACAGGGGTGCGGGGCCTCGTGCTCCCCAAGCCCGTCCCTGTACACCTGGGGGTCTTTTGGTGACCAGCCAGCCCCTCGCTTCCGGCGCTCTTGGTGACCGTGTGGTCACCTGGCATTTAGCAGAAAGCAACCTGGGTGTCCAGGCATCTTTCCCTGGAAGGTCTCTTCCCCCAAGCAAGGGTCGGAGCTGCTCGATGGGGGACAGACCTGTTCCCTCTGCCTCCCCCGTGACTCCCAGAACAGCTGCAGAGACGGGGAGTACCTGGGGGACTTCGGGCCACGTGATAGTGGCCAGAAATACCCCACGGCCTCCCTGCCGCCCGGGTGCCCACGGGGCTCTGACTCTCCCGCTCCCAGCCTCGTGGCTGTCCCTGGAGATGCTGAGAGTGACAGCTGGAGAGTTTGACGATCTTACATAAGCAGGGAGGCAGTGAGAAGTCACCCACCCACCGTGTCCCTCCGTTCCTGTTGGCACCCCCCGTCCCTCCATCTGTGGCCCCCAAGGGACCTGGGTTGCCAAGGAGCTGGCGGGCACAGTCCGGAGCCGAGGGGGCTTTGTGACATGGGCAAGTAGCTGTGGAGCCCGGAGCCCCACTAGGGCCTGGCCGGGACGGCTCGTAACGGCAGTGCCAGCACCAGGTCCCGGGCCAGGGACATGAGCTTTGGGCAGCAGTTACCTTTTTGGGGCAGGAGTTTGTCTAGAACACAAGTGGCCCCTCACCCCGGGGAGGTGGTAAAGACCAGACCGTGGTGATGGTTCACGTTACCGATGGTGGCCTAACGAAGGCTTCCAGCTGCACAGCCCCTGACAGCGCCCAGAATCTGTCACCTGAGTTCGAGGAGGGTTCTATTGGAGCCCCCAGCACAGGCGGTGGGGCCCCCGAGTTGTACTGACAAAGAGGGCTGCGACAGGGCTGTGTAATTTGCATGAAAATCACAGAGCCTGGAGTGGTGGGTGAGACTCAGATGACTCGGAGCTGGGAGCTTGGATTCAGTACTTAATAATAACTCGCTGTGACAATCTCAGAAAGAATCCAAATGTCAGAGCCAAATTAACTAGCACAAAGACAGATGGAAGTGTTTCTCCCTCGCTTAGCTCACAGCCTCGAAACACGGCCCTCTGGTTGTCACCTGCCTGGAGCATCTCGGCTGGTGGCAGGAGAGGGCGGGCGGGTGGGCGGGTCGGTGGGGACGGGGGGGGCCTGGTCCCATGCAAGGCAGCGGCGGGGACACGCCTGAGGCTGCTCCGTCGTCCCTTCCAGATCTGGCAGGGGATTGACATCGAGACCAAGATGCACATCCGCTTCCTCAACATGGAAACCATGGCCCTCTGCCACTGACCCGCGCGCCGGGGAGAGACCGCGCTCAGCCCCGGGCAGCGCCCCTCGCTCTGGCACAGCGCAGGCCTGGAGGGGACGGCCTTTTGCTACGGCTCGTGTAAATAGCCAGCACCCATCCACTCATCTCATGTCTCGTAGGGTACGGTACGTGGGACTCTGCTGTTTTTATCTCTAATAAAAAAAGGAAAAAAAAAAGGTTTGTTACTGACCCTGGCTTCTGTCGCTTCCTCACGTCCATTTAAGTGGCCTGGTCATCTGGTGGCATGAGACTGAATGTGAGGAACAAGCAGTGGCTGTGTGTTTAAAAGGCTGGTTTGGGAGAAGGACTTCTGTTTGTTTTGGGTAACGTGTCTGCTGTTCTCCCTGTCTAAGTACCGGGAAGCCCTCTGCCGCCTCCATCCTGGGCAGTGGAACGAGCAGAAGTAGCTCCTGCCCCGACGGCCTCCCGAGGTGGCCGGGTTGGGGCTTCCTAGTGTCATGGCCACGTATCTAGACTCTGGAGACAGCGTTTGGAGCCCTCAGCCGTGCCCGTAGCGGGTATTTGCTCCAGCGCGCCCTGGTTTTCTAGGGATGCGGGGATCGAGCCCCTGGCTGGTGACTCGGGACCCCCAGATCCTGACTGGGGGGCGGGGGCTGCCGGCTGGGGCTGCTCCTGGATCTTTCTGGCAGGAAGGGCCCAGCCGCAGGGCCCAGGGACTCCGGTCCCGGTGTGAGCAGCAGCGGTGGAGGCCGAGGAGGTGTCTGCCCCAGGTAAGCGTCTCTGACGACCTCGGTTGTCACTTCCTTACTTGGGGACCAGCTATTGCTGGGGCCAATGAAACAAAAGCAGGGTCACCCGGGTCGGTGGTGGCCCAGGAGTCAGCCGAGGGCCAGCTCGAGCGGAACTCGTCTACCGGGGCCTGGGTGAGGCTGGCGACCTGCCCAGTGTGACTCTCTGGCTCCTCTGGGAGCGTGGTGCTGGCGGCCCTGGGTGACGTGTCCCCGTCGCCGTCTGTTTGTCTTCCGGGCCTTTTTCTGGGCTCAGCTGCCTCATCACCGACACTCTCTGGGAGGCGCCCTTCTCGCCCTCCACAGTTCTCTTGGTAACTGGCAACTGCTCTTATGTGCATTCCAGAGTTTTCCGTGGCTTTAACACTGAGCGTGCTTTATCTTACTTCCTCGTGCCCACGCCTTGCGGTCGGAATTCAGAAGGTGCCAAGAGCAGGCGGCGGAGTCTGCAGCCCACGCCTGTCCCCTGGCCTCCCCTCAGGGGCAGTGACAGTGGCCTTTTCTTAGATGTCCTCCCAGAGCACGCGGCGGCAGACGTGTGCACGTCCGTTCTTAGTGCCCTGCCTTTCCTCAGCGGGAGAGGCTGAGGCTTCGGTGTTCTGGTCGGAAGGTTTGCAGGTTCCGGATGGAAACTTGCAATGAGAGGGCGTGAGCCGGGGCGTCTCTGCTCCTCCGCCAGCCACCAGGCCTAGAGGCGCAGGGAGTTCTTTGGTGCAGCCTGTTATGAGCCAGGTCACCCTGACACTGTTCCAGCGGACAGTGGCTCGCGCTGGTGGCTGCAAACGCCCCGAGCCCAGAGCGGGGCTGGGACGCCAAGTCGCCATCCTGGCCTTGGGCCCCCCGGGCTCCGTGGGCAGTTGTCACAGTTGGTGCTCCGCAGAGCTGTGCCGCAGGCGACCCGCCCCCGAGGGCACCCTCCTGCCCCGACTGGGTGCCCGAGCTGATCTGGGTGTTGCACACGTGAGCGTTTACTTCGACGGGCATGTGCTTATTTTAACGTGTGTAAGAAAAAAACGCAACTTGACAGCACATGGGGGGCCCATGGGTGGATTGTTGCTTAGGATGAGATGAAAGTTGGTATTTAAATTTAAAACGCCAGGCAGCACGGCGCGTCTGAGGGCCGCGTGCTGCGTCAGAGTGGCGCGCCAGCACTGGGGAGGGGGCGAGTGGGGTAAGCCGCCACCTCCTGGGGCTCTGGCACACGTGTTGTCACTGTCATTGGGAAGGTCAGCCAGCTGGCCGGGCCGGGCTCTCCTGCGGCCTCTGCTCTCCCGATAGGGCAAGCTGGTGGCGGGGAGTGGCCCAGTCTCGGGCCAGTGAAGACTGAAGTGGCCTCTGGCGCTCTGCTCCTGGACTAGGCCCTGATGTTCAGAGCAGAGGGGCGAGGGCGGGGGCCTGTGCTTCCTACCCTCAAGGTGTCCGCTGTGTCGGGGAGGAGGAAGCCCCGGACGCTTCCAAGTAGAGCCCAGGCAGTTTCCTGAGATGGGAAATGGGATGTGATCTCCCATGTCTGCCCTGCCGTCCCCTTGGTGTCCCAGCTGCCGGCAGCAGAAATCTGGAAAGTCACTAGGACAGCCCAGTGGGGCGTCGGTCGTCGTGTTTACTCGCTCTTGTCCAGGTTGGAGCCTCCCTCTCTCGGCCTCCCCACGCTCCCTGCCCTGCCCGTGCGAATGGGACAGGTCTGTGGCCAGCACTGGCGCCGCCACGCCAGGCCTGGGTTTTCTGAGACTCCCCCAATTCACTTCGATTTTGTTATTTTCTTTCTTTTTGGGGAGACAGCCTCTGGCTCCATTGCCTTGGCTAGAGTGCAGTGGTGTCATCATAGCTCCCAGCAACCTCAAACTCCTGGGCTCAAGCGACCCTCCTGCCTCAGCCTCCCGAGTAGCTGGGACTACAGGCACGTTCCACCACACCTGGCTAATTTTTCTATTTTTAGTAGAGATGGGGTCTTGCTCTTGCTCAGGCTAGTCTCAAACTCCTGACCTCAAGTGATCTTCCTGCCTTGGCCTCCCAGAGTGCTAGGATTATAGGCATGAACCACCACGCCAAGCCTGATTTTGTTCCTTTGGACAAGGACAGTTTGTTAGTGTAAAATGTTTTTGTAAGTAATAAATCACCTTCCGTCAGCCCCTGTGCCCTGAGTCTTAGTTGGGAGTTGTGGCCACAGTGGGCACACGTCCGAGGCCACTGAGGGACCTGCCTGGTGTCTTTGAAGCTTTGGGCCATGGCATATCTAAAAGCTAATTAAATGAGGCTGATTCACCGAAAGCCCGGTCCAGACTGCTCAGAAGAAAGCTCGCTTGTGCGCAGTCACCGGGGGTGTCCTGGCATTGGCAAGGTTGGGGCTTATTTGCGCCGGAGCGTGGGCTGCAGGGTTCTCCTGCCCGGCGCCCGGCGTGCTCTGCGTCATCCAGCGAGTGATCGGGGTTGGCGACTCGTTGGTGCAAACCTGGTCCCGGAAGGGGCAGGCGACTTTCCGGGCGGCGTGGTCTTGCGGGGCGGCTGGCTTGGATTAGCGAAGACCAAGGGCGCGGATCCAGAGCGGCCCCCCGCCTGGACGGCGCAGGACGCAGGCAGGTGGCTCGGAAATGGCTTCTGCTGCCTGCTGGACTGTCGGGCTTCTGCTTGTACCCAGGAGGGAATTTCTGGCTGCACAGACCCTGACACAAGCGTTAGTAGCCCCCTCCCTCGTCCCTGGACGGGGACGTGACTGAATGATGGGGGACACCTCAACTGCAGCGGGCCAAAGAAGGTGACGTGCGTGTCCTGAAATGTGATCTAAAACTAGAGTGTGATAAGTCAACCAACCACACAGGTTAGCAGCCTGCCTTCTATCAGAAATGTCACCAGTGACTAAAAGGAAGTTGGCAGCAGTAAGGCAAATATTTGCAGGAAGCTGATAAGTTCATATTTGAGGGCCACAGGCCATGGGAGGAGAAAGCTGAGCCGGGAAGGTGTCCCCTCAGCCTGCTGGATGCCAGGGAGGGTCACCTGCCTCTCCCCCCAAAGGCTTCAGCCATCTACCTGCCAGGAATCGAGTCGAAACAGGCTCCAGTCCTGTACCGCCATGTCACCAAGGGGAAAGCTGGCTTTTTGAGGCTGAAAGAATATGGCGATTTGAATAAGCACGCTAATTTGGGAGGTTTACGAAAGGGTTGTGTAATGGAAATCTAATACGAGCAGCTCTGGGGACACGTTCTGCAGCCACGTTAAACATGAATTATGGATAAGGGAAAAGAGTAAGATGACGGCAGCTTCCAGCTCTGGCCAGGCACCCTCTTAGGGAACGAAGTATTGCTGGACTTTAACAAAACAATCCCATTATTGTCTGGGCCGAGGGACTGCGGAGTTCTTCTTGTGCTTTGCTAATGGGAGATGGGTCATCCTATAGATCTGATCCTTGTCACCGAGCAGTTAAACCTGTCCCCACCTGCCTGCAGTTAACAAGGCTGAAGACGAACTCCGCCGTGCCGGAAACGCCACCGTGTGACTTAAGTAGGCTGATGGAGAGTTAAAAATACCAGTTGCGTTGCCGAGAGTTTTGCGCACGCCGCCTTGCAGGCTGTCTTCCCACAGGCGACCTTGGGGAAGCCGGGAACATCGGGTGGGAGGACCCGGGGTGTAACCCCACCTCACCAGGGCATCCGTGCTGCCCTCGTCTCAGGCTCTTCCAGGTTCTGAACAAGTGCCAGCAGGGGTTTGGTCTTGGGTGAACCTGGCCCTGGGGGTGTGTGGGGGGGGACTCAAGACTCTGACAAGGACACAGGCCACTCAGCCTTCTAACCTGCCTGTTGACCAAGTCAGCAAGGGACTGAGCTCTGGTCTTAAACGGGATGTGCCAGCACCCCAAGAGCGGCTCTGATGGGGCCGTGGGGAGGTCCAGGGACGTGGTGAGGGGCAGCTTGCTGCCACCCCATTTCGGAGAAACACAAGGCAGCATTTGTCCTAGCACGGGCAAGGGAAGAAAAGATAAGCATGATGGGCTCAGCAGGGGGCATGCGGGGGGGGGGGGGCTTCGCTCCCTTTCTGGGGAAAGAGAAGGCCCCTGGTGTGGAGCAGGCTGCTTTTGGAAGCCCGTGTTTAGACTCAGAGGCCGAGAGCCGGCCGGGCACACATGGCACCGCCACAGCCCGGCGAGAGGGAATCTGCCGCTGCGCACGAGAGGCAGCCCCCGTCCAAGTCGCCGCAGGCCCTGCAGCCACAGCCAGGTGACCATCTGGCCTGGCTGCGGGGGTGAGGCGGGCACAGGCCCGGCCAGCAGGTACCTCTAGCTCGCTGCTGCCACAGCCGCTGCTTGGAGCAAAGGGCCCGTCGGGAGCAGGAAGTAGGAGACGGCCCTGTGCGGGCCACTGCCGCGGCACGGTTGGCACGGAAAGGCTGCCCCCTCCCAGGGGAGGCTGTTTCTCTACAGCTGTGAGCAAAGTTGCCTTGTGGTGGCATTTGCCATCTTAACAAGGGGCATGGGAAGTACGATCCCCTTAAATTTGGGGCCTCCAGTTCTCGAGGGGGGGAAGGCGGTAGAGAACTTCATCTTGGGGGTTCGTCCACTTTCCTTTTCGGCAGGGACCAAGACCCCACTCTCGGGGAAATTCAGGTTTTCCTCTGATCTGCTGAAATCCAAGCAGCCAGCCAGGCTGGAAGTCCTACCTGGTGGGGGAAGGTGGCGCTGGCCCTAGGGTCTCTTTTAAACATGAATTACTGCCTGGGCAACAAGGCAGCACGTGGCCTGGACTGAAAAGCACACTCTAGTGGCAGAGACGACATTCTGAGGGGGGCTGTCTGTCCCCTTCAAGAACATAATGAAAGTGAACCATACATTTCCCTGGAAAATGCCGTTATGTACGATCTTACGTATAGCAGGTTGTTTGGTTCAAGGTCATGGTGGTGTGATGTTGAGAGAGAAATCTATTCCCGCCCGTGTGTGTGGAGGTAGGTGCCTGTTCTCCCCACGTCCTCCCAAGTTTGCTCCCAGTCCTCCGGCTTCTTCCCACATCCCAAAGCTGTGCGAGCGCGCTTCGCCGCCGTGTCTGCGTGGGCGCGGCTGAGCGTGGGCGCGGCTGAGCGTGCCCTGCGACGGCACGGCTTCCTGGCCGGCGGTGGCTCTGGCCTTGTGCTCTGAGCCGCCAGGATCGGCTCTGGCCACCCACTACCCTGAACTGTGAAACAGGTTGGAAAATGAAGGCATGAATATGAATTATTGTAAAATAGAATATCTGTAAGGTCTACCGTAATCGTACACATGACAGACGGTGTAGTATGGAAGCACGCACGAGCCCATCCACGACTTTTGAGGGGTGGCGGGGCCTCACTGTGTTGCGCAGGCTGGTCTTGAACTCCAAGCGGTCCTTCTGCTTCAGCCTCGCGAGTAGCTGGGACGACAGCCGCGCGCCGGCACGCCCACCTTGTTTTTGACCTGCGTGGTAGCAAGAGGTGCCCTGACGATGTTTGCTTTGCAAGCATTCATTCCTTGATTTCACTCCCACCCCTACAACCACCTTTACTGACTCACTAAAAAATTGGGTAAATACTGACTTTATTAATCTTTGTTAAATGTAGGTATAGCTCACATTTATTTCAGTGTTTAGTATTAGAAATGTTTGGTTCAAACTTCCAAAGTTTGGTGATGTTTTCGTGACCAGAAATGTGCCGCAGGACCTTAACTCTTGTTTGTATCCGTTTGCCTGTGGTAAAACTGGTTTAGTTATACATTGTTTCACTTCAAGTTGCGGTTTCCAGGAACCCAAGGATGATGATAAGCGAGGAGTTACGGTATAATGTTGCGGGTTGCTTGTATCCTGGGCTCGGACCCCTGTAGTGGAGGTTCTGGGACCTGCCACTCAACTGTGAGCTACAAACAGGGCCATGATGGCAGGTAAGATTTCAGGGGAATGGGGGGAGAGGAGGTAATACCTTGCCCACGTGTTAAAATGATTTGAGCAATGTATAAATTCAAAGCATTTAATATGCAAACTCAACACACGGAGTAGAAAGCAAGAGCCCCTGGGGGTTGGCCCTCCGGCTCCTGCGCGGCATATTTGAGTCTCTTCTGTCTCTAGGGGAGATGCCGAGTGGAAGAGATTGAGAAGCAGAAGAGCTAAAGAAAAGTGGATGATAAATCCACTAAAAACCCAGAACGCCAAAGGGGTAAAGGTGAGGGGGGTGAGCAGAGGCGACAGCTGCCGAAGGATTTTGTTATTGCTGGGTGTTGGTTTAAAGGGTGTATGTACCTTCTGCCCGTTTTGTTCGGGTTTCCAGCAGCAAACACTGTCTGAGGCTGGTGTTTCTGAAGAATACGTTCTCCTTCACAGAACCCAGGCAGTTTTCATGAATGGGAGGGACATTCTAAACAGGCTGGGGGGGGGGGGAAACTGAGCCTGTGATGTTTGCACCCTGGCCCAGCTCTTGGCAGTGAATGATGGCAGGTTTAGTGAAAATTTCTGGGTCTAAATTGCTGCAAAGGTAGGGAGGGAGCGTGCGTACCTGCAAAATCAGACAGAAAGAGACTGCTTCTAGAGAGGACTGCCCTTCTCCCCAGAGCAGTGGCACAGCTGCACTCAGACTCTGGGAGAAAGGAAATGCAGGCTTAATGGAAACCTTACACAGACAAGAGCAGGTAAAACGCCTGCGTTTGCTAAGGGCAGGCTGCCTTCACTTACAATACGGTGGAAAAGCGGCAGAGAGCCCTCTGGGGCCCCAGGGAGGTGACGCTTCCCAGTTGGGCTCCACTTTTCCACGTAGTTGCAGATGGACATTTAATTAAGCAATTTGAACCACCTTCGTGACTGGAAAGTTCCAGGCCTCCTCAATAATATGCACCTATGTGCAACAGAGAAGCTGTTTTTCTCATGCATCAATGTGAGCAACTGACCCCTACACTGAAGGGACTTCACTTGGTTCAGTTCCTCACCGCCCCTTGAGCCTTTTTGCTTAGCCAAGAGTTGAATATTTTCTCTTTAAAAAATTGCTTTTGGCTTCATATTAACTATTTGTTGGTTTTCTATTTGATTAAATAAGAATAAAAGCAGATATTAATGAATCCTTCTACTTTCTTTAGGATAGCTGCTACCTTTTTTGAACTTTCTGGGGTGAAAGCTTGTTCATTTATTTTCTACTAAAAAAGTCGCAGCTCTTCTCCGTCCCTTCTGGGTTTTGTATTCAGCCCTTTCATTATTAGCCTGGTCTAGAGAGGTCATAGGCAAGAGTGTTTGGAATTTCCAGGTGTATGTTTTACTATTTTGTTGATTTATGATTATACTGGCTTAGGTCAGTGAATCTGGCCTGTGTAGTATCAGTCTTGGCACATCTGAGCTGTTTTTTGTGGCCTTTGTGCATGCGCTAAGGCACCTATAGGATCAAGCTTGTTAATGATAGCAAATCCTACAAATCTGTGAGGGTGGATTTTCTCTCTGTTGTTCTATTTCGAAGGCATATTAGCTGGATGCTGCTTCTGTTTAGGAAAGACATAAATCAAGAGTACTGTAGCACTGGCTTTAATACTTTGGGATTGGAAGCTATGGTATCAAACTGGACAGTCCTGTTTTATCTCAGTGGTTTCAGGTCAGGGTTCCTCATTGTCTGCGGAGGCTCACCTTCCATTCCCTATGGAGGATGGCTGCTTAGTCAATGGATACTTAGAAAATATGAACTTTGTATCACATACTGTAAATGTAGTAGTAAACAAAATAGTCATTAATGAAACAGTAACTGTATAAATATATAATTCTAAAGCATGGTAAAAGCTATGAAGAAAGAGTCCTGCTAGGATAGCGCGTCAAAGAGCCGGGATGGAGCAGGGGCCCTGCAGCTGTAGTGTATGAAAGGATGTGGGGGCATCACAGGGTGGGCTGGAGGGGTGTCCATGGGAGGCACATGGGGAAGGAGGTTAGGTTTGAGTCATCAGCATTTGGTACTCAAAGCCACAGGAGAGAGGAATAAACCTTGAGAGACTCCAGCTTTTCACAGGCGGAGTGCACTGGCGAAGGGGGTGCAGGAGCCTACGCTGTCACCCAGGTGCAGCTCCGCTGATTTTATAAGAAAGACTTACAAAAATCTTTCTCCCTAAATACGGTCATAGGAAAAAGCCAGCGCGAGGTCGTGGTTGTAGCCAGCCATGGTGTCAGAGGATGAACGGCACATGGGAAGAGGGCTCTGGAAGGCCAGCTGGTCTACTGCAAACTCATAGGCGTGGATCAGCCCCCGGTGCCTGGAGAAAGCACAGAGGACACCAGGTCAGCACTGCATCACTGGCCCCTGACAGCGGCTGTCTTTGCATTCATTTCACATTAACAGGTATGTCCTTTGGACCCACAGTGTGTCAGACACTCACAAGCCCCGGCCTAGAGCCAGGCTGGCAGTCCAATGAGACAAAGGTACCCGAGTCCACTACACTGAGCCTTGCCACTATGACAGATCTAGCCACAGCAGCCCCCTTTCTCTGTACAGCCCACAGCCACCAACCCCACGCCATCCTGCATGTGCTGCAGCACTTCAACAGGTGCTTGGGCTACTGTCACTCCATTTTAAAGAGAATGGCCCTGCCTGAAGGTACAGCCCGTAGCAGGCAGTGTGGCACAGGAGGTTCTATTAATAAATCAGACCAAGGTCGTCTTTTCTGGACTAGTACCAATGCAGCCCAGCCCCACCGACTGACCTCTCGTGAGTCGCAAAGTTGTCCAGGTCGGCGTTTCGCACCACCCGCTCGTAGGGCACGTTGGCTGTGATGAGGCTGTGGTTGTTGAACGAGATGTGACGCACAGGGTGCCTGGGGGGAGAGAGCGCTGTCGTGAGGGCAGGTCTCATGTACCGCCTACGGTTGCGGGGGCAGCGTCCTGCCAGTTCCTAAAGCTAGCGTGAGCAGGACACCTCCATGCACTACTGCATTCTGGCTGACTGCCCCAGCAGCTTGGTGTGTTCCAGAAAGAAAGGGCAAGGCGCAGTGGAGACCTGTCCCAGCTCTGGCTTCCTGGTCGGTAAGCCCCCAGACTCTCCAAGACAGGTTCCCCCTCTGCAGGGCATCTTCAGTATGGATCCATAACTGCCAACCTTCTCCTGGAGGGTGTACTTGGGTTTTCAAAAGTACATTTAGAAAATCTTGGAAGAATATGGCTTCAAGTCTGTATGACACAGGCTTTCGCTCCACTGAGCCAGGAGCCACTGGTTAAAAAAGAGAAGTTCCTGGCTAGTTCCCATTAAATATGGCCAAGGCTGCTGTAGCATAAGGACGTTACAAGCTACACGGAATAGGGGACGGCCAGCGCAAGGGACTTTCTGGAGCAGCCACCGGAGGGAAGCGAGAGAGGAGGACCTGGGGGACTGACTGAAGTGGACAGGACCTCCCGTGAATGGCCCCCCTGAGGGAGTGCAGGCCTAGGGAACTGTCCCCCGGGGCTGGCCAGTCCACTTGTAAAACAAGGACTGGGGTTTCCTCAAAGGCAGTGCTTCTGGAGTCCACACGGTGGGAGTTTTGTTGCCTTTTGGCACCATCTGGTGGCCACTCAGTGTATCACAGAAAGGGTCGATGTACCTGTTTGCTGCATCAAGAGGGGACCATAATGGGCAGTGTGGACAACACCCAGGGTCTGAGTCTGATAAAAGCACCGCCCTCCAAGGAAGAAACCAATTCTTCCTTTAACCAGCTATGCCCCGCCAGCATGGATGTATCTGCATCTGTGATGCCATCAGCCTGTGCTTTGGATACAGTGTTAAAGGTTGAAATTACAAATTTCTCCTTAGGACTGAAGGTATTCAGCCTTCAACTAAGTGTCCTTTAGATTAAAAAAAAAGTGTGAGGAAAGTCAAGTCCATGATCTTTGGGCAGAAGCTCACAGTTACAAAGGACATGCCTCTGGAGTGCAGGGGGCCCTTTCCATCCATCCACCTGTGGGCAGAGAGGGCAGCCTACACGTCAAGTTTCCTACATTTTTGAGTTACCTTTCCTGTTTGTTAAGATGGAGGAATCCTAAAACAACCAGAACAGCACTTGCAAGAAAGTGGTTCCATTCTTGGAGAAACGTGGGCCTGAAGACTAAGGACCAGGTGTGAATTACAGCAGTCTCAATGATGTCAGAGAGAACTGCATCTTCTCTGACCAGCACCATTTCCAAGCCTCAATTTCCTCATCTGAAAAACGGAGACAGCATCGTATGGCTCCTGGGGTGAGGACTCGCCCAGTGAGGTGTTTAGCACACTGTCTGGCTCAGAGGGGGCACCAGTCCTGGCGTGACTGTCACTGCCACTACTAAAAGCTCCTCAGGAGCCACCTTACCTGGAATGCACCTCCCACAGCTTCTGGTTCATCCGATAATCCCACACGGACACCAGGCCTTCCTCGCCTCCACTGACGATTTTCCAGTCGTCCATCTGGACAGCAGAGACCCCAAGCTGGTGGGCAGAGAGCGACAGGGCGATTTTATCCGTGCGGAGGTCATGGATCCTCACCCTGGAAGGCCCAAGAAGAGCAGCAAAGGGAACTGGGATTAGAGCTAAAGCTTGAAAACACAAATTCCTCCTCAGTTGTGCTGCTCCTTTGCTTGCAAGCATCTATGATAATATCAAACTTGTATCTCCCCATCAGCACACTGTCAGAGTACCCACAACCAAAAGCTGCAATGCTTTAAAAGTACATGGAGCAAGAAGGACAAGGATCTTAGCTGCCCTGGTACCCACTTCGTCTGCTCAACAGGGAAAAGGCGCCTGCGTCATTTAGAAGGAAGTTGAGATAGGACTGGCTGTGTGACTCCAAACGGGCTGGCCTGAAAAGCCTGTCCCAGTGGTAGCTTTACCACCCACCATGGTCATTTTGCTGGTGGTATAATAATCTGTTAAAGGCAAGGAGAAAATCAGGTATACACCCCAACTCCTTGCCTGGCCAGGGAAGTACCACTTTTTTGGTATTTAATTCAACTTTCTGAGCCTATTACCATCTTGTTGAAATTCAGAAAAGTTTTTATAGTTGACTGAGCACCACAGCACTGTGGTAAGTGACTGCCAGTGTCCACGTACTTTTTTACCTGCCTTATAATAATATGAATTACTGTAAGGAACTCTTAAAAACTTTTATATGCTGTATTTTCATGAGGATAAATGACACAGAAATTTCTCATCCACTACAAATACCACCCTACTTACTATTAGTTCCAGAAATAAGTTACAAGAGCTAAAATTGAATGTGGCAAAATTTAAGCAAATTGACAAATATACCAGACCTGAGGAAGGAAATAGCAGAGGTCATAAACAGGTGGGAAACCACACAATGCTCGTGGGTCAGCAGAATCAACATTGTTAATGCACTCCCTATCAAAATACTGTCATCATTTTTCACAGATGTAGAAAAAATAATTTTATGCTTTGTATGGAACCAGAGAAGACCCCGGATAGCAAAAGCAATCCTAGGCAATAAAAGCAAAATGGGAGGTATCAATTTATAGCCTTGTAGTATAGTTTGAAGTCTGGTAGTCATTAAAACAGCTTGGTTCTGGCACAAGAACAGGGACATAGACCAGTGGAACAGAACAGAGAACCCAGATGTAGCCATCTAATCTTTGACAAAGCAGACAAAAACATACACTGGGGAACAGAATCCTTATTCAATAAATGGTACAGGGAAAAGTGGATAGCCCCATGTAGAAGACAAACAGGATCCACACTTCTCACAAAAATCAACTCTCACACCTTAAGTCTGTTACCCACTGTAACTATTGGAAACACTTTTCTAGACACTGGCCTGGGCAAAGAATTTATGAAGAAGACCCCAAAGGCAATCATAGCAACAAAAATAAATACATAGGACCGGATCAAATTAAGAAACTGTCAGGAGAGCAATCAACCTCCAGAATGGGAGAAAATTTTCACAAGCTACACATCCAATAAAGGGCTGATAACTAGAATCTATTTAGAACTCAGGGTTGATTTTTTTCTTGCTGATTTTCCTATTCAAAAAGTAGGCAAAGGACATGAACAGAAACTTTTCAAAAGAAGACAGAATAGCCACCATCTCTAATCATCAGGGAAATGCAAATCAAAACCACAATGAGATATCACTTATCTCCAGTGAGAATGGCCTTTATCAAAAAGTCCCAAAATAATAAATAAATGTTGGCATAGATGTGGAGAAATAAGAACACTCCTACACTGCTGGTGGGACTGCAAACTAATGCAACCTCCGTGGAAAGCAAAAATGGAGATACCTTAAAGCGATACAAGTAGATCTACCATTTGATCCAGCAATCCCATTACTGGGCATCTATCCAAAAGAACAAAAGACACTCTATAAAAAAGACATCTACACTTGAATGTTTATAGCAGCACAATTGCAAGCACATGGAAACAACCCAAGTGCCCATCAATACACGAGTGGATTACTAAAATGTGGTATATGTATACCATGGAGTACTATTCAGCTCTAACAATGGTGATCTAGCACCTCTTGTATTTTCCTGGCTAGAGCTGGAACCCATTCTAAGTGAAATACCCCAAGAATGGAAAAATAACCACCACATGTACTCACCAGCAAATCGGTTTCACTGATCAACACCTAAGTGGACATATAGGAACAACATTTATCAGGCGGGTGGGAAGGGGATGGGTATATACATATATAATGGGTACGGTGCGTACCATCTGGGGGATGGACATGCTTGAAGCTCTGACTCCGGGGGTGAAGGAGGGGGTTAGGTGATACATGAAACCTAAACATTTGTATACCCATAATAAAAAAAGTTTTAACAGGCTCTATGATGCAAGTCAAAAGATTCTAGCAGGGGAGCTGGTTAAATATCATAAACATGTGTTTGACCCCAAAAATGTGTGGTGAGACAGGATTATCTACAGCACGTTCTATAACCCAGACTCATGAACATGTGCATACAGATACTATTTTCAGAGTTCTGAGGGAAAATTATTTTGAACTAAACATTTTATACCTATCAAGTTTGACGGTATTATGAGGCTTTGTGTATTAAAACAGAAAAGGACTTTAAATGACTTGCCTGTGGACACTCTGCAAGAAAGTGATATAGCGACACATCAGAAGGTATGTGAGGAGCCAATACACAGGCCCACAGTGAAGTATCACGGCACAAGCAGACGGGCAGCGTGTGTAGACTGATGCACATAGGACAAACGACCCACTAAAGAGAGCTTCACATATCACAAAGCAAAACTAAGCATATGCTACACGAGAAACGCACATTTGCAAATGACAAGGAAGAGATTACAATTCCAATACTAGAAAACGTACATTTCAGGGCACAAGAGCATTATCTAAGAGCACTTTATAACAATGGAGAACACAATTTACTAAGTGTTTGGAAAAAACACGAAATTTTTTTTTTGTAGGTTTTGTTTTTGAATTATTTCTTTAGTCATTATAATCAAGTTTTCTGTTTGTTGAATTACTTTTTTAAATCTCCAAATTGGGAAACAGATGAATAAATGACTTGCTGGGAAAATAAGAATCACCAAAACTGACCCCCAAACAGGTAAAACAACAAGAGCGAGCTGGGAAAGCTATCAAGGAGCCCTAGTCCTCACCAAACAAGAACAGGCGACTTTGGCCAAACTTCTAAGGAAGAGCTACCTCCAGGGCTATGTAAACTGTCCTACAGCCTAGGAAAAGGAACGAAGTATCCAAACTGTACACGAAGCCGGCATTCTATTACCAGAAACCCAACAGTGAGAGCACAATAAGAGAAAACTATAGACTCCCTGGCAATACGCCACAAACAAGTGGAATCTACAAAAAACCACAGGGTCATTTCCATGGATTCCCAAATCTGGTAACACCAATTCCTTATGAAAAGCCTGAAAATACAGTGATACACTATCACCATTATTATCTCACATTGTTTCTTTAAAAATAAAATATGATTAGATAAGGAAAAGATGAAAAGTGTGAAAATTGGAAAGAAATGGGCAAATTTATCATTAGAGAAGACAATCCAAAAGAATTCAGTAATCATTGAGAATCGATTATAAATATGCTAAAACCAACAGCTGTATTATGCACAGATCACCATGAGTCTTAAAAATGTAACCAAAGATCCCACTTATAATAACAATTAAAGGCAAAATACTCTTAATTTTCTCAACTTGAAGCTATACCACATACAACAAATAAATTATGAAGGGTTCAAAAGAGTTAAACGTAATTAAAAATATTCAGAATAGGGAAGGCCTTTCTAAACATAACAAAAACCAGAAGCCAAAAAAGAAAAGATTAACCACACATAAAAAAGTGTTTATTTTTCCCCCATATGGGGAAAGTTAAACGATGAACTGGGGAAAATGTTTGCAACAAGGAGTGCTAACTTATAATAAATTACTTCAAAGACTGACAATCCACTATTAAAATGAAAGAAAAATGCACAGAAAAATACTAATAGGTTTTAAACATGTAAGATGATTAAAACTACAATGCAATATCACTTTAACAAACATATTTCACTTTTGACCTAGCAATTGCACTTCTAGGCATTTATTTAGGATGTATCTACATACCTGTACACCTACACACGAGGCCATTAGCCACAGTACTGTTTTTAGTAGTTAAAGATAGGGCTTCTGTTTCAGACAACTTGTTGACCCGTCCACTGTAAGTTACTTAATAAAGCTGGATAAAATATAACATCCTTTTAAATCCACTGCTGAGCTCACACAGTGACTTACCCAGGGCTCAGGCTGAAAACCAGACCGAGGAGCATGTTGCCGTGTGGTAGGGTAAGGCTGTGGGCAGGTGCCAGACCAGTGGGTTTGGAGCTCAACACCATGCGGGGCTTGGGCCCACCTGAAGGGGGGGAGGGGAGTGCCGAGATTCTTGTCTTTTAAAAAACCACAAACCATAGAAAGCTTCTATAAAAAATGAAAAAGGTGAATTCCTGATACAGGCTAGAAGAAAAATCTGAAGAAGTTACAAAGCAATAAACAAAGGAAAAATGTGAGGAGTGAAAAGACAAGGAGGATAGAAGTGGATGGCCCAGCTTACATCCAGAAGGAGGAAACAGCCTATGACAAAAGAGCAATATTCAAATAGGTAAGGGTTATGTTCCTGGAATCGATGACATCCAGACTCAACGTGTACTAATCAGAATAAATAAGAAATACACACTAAGAGGAGAATAAAAAATGGGAAAACACAAAAGACAAAGAGGTCTTAAAAGCAACCTGAAGGAAAAAGACATTACCTATTAAGATAATTAGACTGACGAGAAAAATTAGAAACAATGTTTCAGTTACCATGAATGGGAATGACCGGATGTCAGTGGCACGATTAACGAGCACATCGACGAGGGCGAGTTAGAGCAACTATGGTACAGCCGTTAGACACGGGGCAGTGGTGTGAGCAGGTGTGCGCCCCGCTACACGCGTGCGCACAACCCTGGGGGGACACTCAGCCTTAGGCAGTCACAGCGGAGGGGAGGGGTCACAGGAGACCGCCTTCTC